ATATTCTTGCATAATTAGAATAAGCTGGAGCCAAGTAGCAACTGCTCCCTTTATACAGGAAATGTATTTTCTGCGATATCCTCTCTCATCAGTTTCTTCTGATCTATTCCCATCTGAAAAATGGGAATAGCAGTTATGCCTCTTTCATAGTTACTGTGATAAGCAAGGAAGTTGAGGTAGGTAAAACACTTAATGCCCAGCATTGAGCAAATGCCACAGTCTCCACCCAGCCCAATTGATTTACATTCCTGGCAGGCACGTAGTTTACATACATTTGCATTTGTGACCCTTGCTAAGTCTTGCAAATTTTTAAAAGTAGATACCAAAAAAAGAGAAGGTGCAAAAGTTTCTAAAAAGCAAAGGAGTTTGAGGGTCTGTAGCACCTTTCTGCCAATAAAAAAATAATAAAGCTGGCCCCAAGGAATTTAAAATCTGAGAAGAACCAGGACTACTTTGCTGAGGGGAAAAAATGGGGACAAGGCTGTGATGCTTTAGACTCAACGCTGTCTTTGTTAAACTTTATAGGGTAAGTTTGCAGCTTTAGGATTTTTCCTTTTTTATTCTTTATCTCTCCTCCTGTGGTTATGAGTAGTAAAAATCCTTAGAAACCCTCAAATAATTTGGCATGGGTTTGAGTTAGTATTAATAGATAAACCGTTCAAGACAAGATTGTGCTCCGAAAAAAAATACTTAGTAGGAACCATCAAGTGGCGGGAGTCGTGGGAGACACCAGCGGGGTGGCAGTCTGTCACCAGGATTGCTGCATCTTACTACACTGGGTATTTTCCACCAGTCTTCCCAGAACCGCCCCCTCCACAACTTTCTCCACCTGCTTGGGGGTCCCCAGAGGCTAGCTTGTGTGGACTCTCACTGGCTTCCAAGACCTTGGGTGTCCAGCTAGATTCAGCCAAGGGGAGGCTTGGTGAGAGATGAGAGGCGAAAAGGTGAGGTTGTGTGTTTATTGCTGCGCTGCCCCCATCCCCCACCCTGCTTCTGTCCTGAGGCAGCCTGGCTGTGTCTCCCTACCCATGACCCAGGGCTCCTGCCAGGCAGCCCTCTCGAATCAGCTGCTTTCTCCGAGTTCTGGTATGTCCTCTCCACCCTTTTCTCCTTCAGGCAGGTCCAGGGATGGCAAAGTGTGCCCACTGTCACCAGACCAAGGAGACCACACCAAATTCAGGGCTTTCCTAAAGCCCACTGGCTCCTTTGAGAACCGTCCTTTTATTAAATTCTCGATGCTTTCAACCCAGGCATGGGTTTCCTGCCAGGAGTCTGATAAAGTTATCTACCATATAATATCCATCACCACTTATACCCTGCTTGTGTTTAAGAACAGGGCTTTCGAAACCACCTATGCCATGTCCTTGTTAGTAAATTCTTGGATTTGATCCTGTTTATTATATGCTAAGCAAAATAATACAAATATAAAACCCACTTCCCATGGCATCCTCTGCAGTAGTTTCCTATGACTGCTGTAAAAAATCGCCACAAACTTGGCAACTTAACACACATTTATTCTCACAGCTCTGGAGGTCAGAAATTTAAAATCGGTTTCACCGGGCCAAAGTCAAGTGATCAGTGGGGCTGTTCTTCCTCCAGAGGAACTAGAGGAGAATCTATTTCCAGCTTCTAAAGCGACATTGCTGCATTCCTTGGCTCATAGCCCCTCCCTCCATCTTCAAAGCCAGCAGATTAGCATCTGCTTCAGTCCTCGGACTCCTTTCATCCGTCTTTGCAGTCACATCTCCCACTGCCACCTCCTTATAAGGTCACTGTGGTTACATAGAGGGTACATCAAGATGATCTAGGATAATTTCCCCATCTTAAGACTTCAGCACGATCACATCTGCAAAGTCCCTTTTGCCATATAAAGAAGCATTCACAAGGATGTTTCATGTCCAGGGATTCTGACATGAATATCTGTGGGGGTCATTATTCAGCCTACCACACCTGACAATTTACCTGAGCGGGAGTGAGGAAATTGACCAGGATGATTTTTTTCTTGAAGGACAGGAGGAAGCGCTAACACACACACATGAGCAGCTCTAACATTCTTCACACAGCCTCACAGAGCAGGAGTATACCCTTAATTCCAGCTCTAGAAATACCACTGTAAGTGCCAACTTTCAAAATCCATTCATGTATTCATTCTTCCATCTATTCATTTATCAGTCAACAGTCAAGTCTGTACTAGGTCCCAGGCACTGTGGTAGGACCTAGTACAGGTAGGTAAAATACATGCCCTCCTCTTAAGGGGATTACGATTCATGGTGATGGGTGATGGCAGGAAATGACCAGATAAGTAAACTAGAAAAATACTGTGTTTTGAATGCTGCTACAATGGAGGTATGACAAGCAATGGGAGGTGCTGCGTGTCCTTGAAGGGTGATAGAAAGTTAGTGGTTTCTTGTAGTAATACCCTGTGTTTTTGAAAGATGAGCTGAAATTTGCTAAGCAAATGCAAAAGACTAATATTAAATAGCCTGGTGTTTTTGATGAAATGTGAATTTTTCTTGATGACTAGAGCACTGGTCATTCCATTTAGCTACACATTTGATTCCCCTGGGACTAGGGAGAATGATTAAATACAGATGACTCAGTTCTACCTCAGCTATTCTGTTTTTATTATAATCTGGGGTGAGTTTTTAAAAATTAGTATTTAAAAAAAACTTGCAGGTGATTCGTTTTTGTTTTTTTGAGATAAGGTCTCTATTGCTGAGGCTGGAGTGCAGTGATGTGAGCACAGGTCACTGCAGCCTTGACCTCCTGGGCTCTCAAGCAATCCTCCTGCCTCAGCCTCCTGAGTAGCTGGAACCACAGGCATATGCTACCATGCCAAGCTAATTTTTCTGATTTTTTTAAAAATAAAGGCAAGGTCTCATTTTGTTGCCCAGGCTGGTCTTGAACTACTGGCCTCAAGCGATCCTCTGACCTTGGCCTCCCACAGTGCTGAGATTACAGGTGTGAACCACAATGTCCAGCCCCGGGTGATCTGAATGTGCAGCCGGGTTTGGGAATTGCTAGCCTAAAGCAGGATGAACAGTAAATGTGGAGACAAGAGACCAGCCGAGGGAGGGGTGTAAGCATGGCTCCTCAGAGTCGTGTGTCTTCCTAAGGGATGGCCAAGGAGAATCATTTGTTCTGTCTTTATTTTTTTGTTTTCAGTAGCGACTTCCAACAACCTCCTTTCTTGCTCCAGTGGCAGTTTTATGGCATTTGCCTCCAGGCTGCCTTGGCTTCTCATACATTTATACAAAAGCGTTAGAGCTGGCTAGAATTGAACATGTTTAGGTGCTCCGAATTTAAGTAGCTGGAAAATGATTATGCTGTGTATTACACATAGGCCCACCACAGACTAGCCACATGCCCTTAGGCAAGGTCTTCTGAGGCTGATTCCTCATCTGAAAAATGGGGATAAATATGTAGAAACTCACATTTATTGGTGATTGTGATGTATAAAATACTTGTGAGAGAGAGAATCCTTAGAGCAGTGCCTGGCATACTGGAAGTCCTCAGGAAAGCTTCACCTTCTTATGATCTGAACTTGCTACTTAAAGGGAAGCTGGGGGGACTGCTGGAAACAAAAGGATATGATCATACAGAACAGGGACGCTCTTGTATGCAGCTAGTCCTCAAACACAGCCCCCAGTGAAGCAGGCCTCCCATACCCATGCCTTGTGTCATCACCTCCCAGTGACTCTGGGCTGGCTCTGTGATTCACTTTTGACTGTAGAATGTGGCAGAAAAATGTTAAGCGAATGAAGACAGAAACAGACGAATTTTGCATGTTCTCACTCCTGTGGGAGCTAAAAATTAAGCAAATGGACTCACGAGGTAGAATAGAATGATTAGCAGAGGCTGGGGAGGGCAGGAGGAATTGGAGGATAAAGTGAATTCATTATGGGTACAAAAATAGAATGAATAAGATCTAGTACTTGGTAGCACAATAGGTGACTATAATTAACAATAATCTATCGTATGTTTTAAAATAACTAAAAGGGTGGAATCAGAATGTGCCTAACACAAAGAAATTAGATACTTGGGTGATGGAGACCCCAATTACCCTGATTTGATCCATTATACATTTTCTGTATCAAATAATCACAAGTATCCCATAAATATATATATACCTGGTATGTATCTATCATAGTTTAAAATAATTTTTTTTTAATGGAGCAAAATTAACACTACGTAACTTCTGAGACTAGGCCAAAGGAGCCCTTCAGCTTCCACGGGGACTCTCGGAACCCTCAGTCTTGCTTCCACTCCCCTGAAAGGGCCGTACTGTGAAGAGGTCCAGACTAGCTACTTGAAGGCAGAACAGAGAGATGGAGATGTCTGGTCAGCCGTTAGTCCTTCTGGTCGTCCCAGCTGAGATGCCAGGTGTGCACGTGAGGAAGCCCTCTTGGATATCGTGTGCAGTGAAACTTTCAGACGACTCTAGCCTTAGCTTTCATTTGATCATGATCACATAAGAGTCTCTAAGCAAGATCTGCCCAGCTAAAGCTAGTCAACAAATAAACCTATCAAAGAAAAACATGTTTTTAAACCACGGAGTTTGGAAGTGGTTCTTATTCATCAGTGGATAACCACAAGGTAACAACAGTTCTCTTCATCCAACATTTTGTAAACACGTTATCTTACACTCGTGGGCATCTACAAGGAGCACTCGAGACCGGTCTTAGGTGGTGGCTGGCTTCCCTCAGAGTGAGCATTTCAAGAGTTCCAGGTGGAAGCTGCAAGAATTTTGACCTTGTACCACATCGACAGCCAAAAGTGAATCCTAGGGTCAGCCCAGATTCACTGGGAGGTGATGTCACTAAGGCCACGGATATGGCAGGCCTGCTTCACTGCGGGGACTACCTTTGGAGACGAGCTGTCACAGGAGCAGATAACCTAGACTGCCACTGCCCCCACGGTGTAAGGCCGCCTTCTTAACTGGCTTAATTGTTGTAACTTGCAGTCAAATGATTTTTCCATCCTTTTCGTTATATACACAGAAGAACATTGAGAACTGCTAAGTGAACTAATGAACAAACTGAATCGGAAGCTTTCCAGGGCTGAAGGACCCTGACTCCCAGCCTTGCTTTTGTTTGCCTGCTCTGCAGCTGATTAGGTCCTGCTGAGGCTCTGATTGCTGTTCAGGAAAACCAGGTATTCAGCTGTGTGGTCCATTGATACTGCTTCCTCTGCTATTGTCTGTAAAGCAAAGTTAAGGTCTTAAAGGACAGAAAAAGTGGCCTCTCTTTACATTTTGCTTTATGTAATCAGGAGGTTGTGTGTTTTGTAACTGCATTGATGAAATTATCCAAATGTCATGAAATCCGTGCATATCAGAGCAGTATGTTCTGGTTAAATGCTATTTGGCTGGGTTAGAATTATTCCCACCACACCTACCACATCCTGACAGGGTGAAAAACATTTTAAGATTAGTGTAATGACTGTTTCCTTTGGTCTAAGCCTTCCCCCCCCTAATTAATTGACTTTTTTTTTAAGGGCAGTTTCAGGTTTATAGAAAAGCAGAAAGTATTTTGAAAAGAGCTTCCATATATCTTGTCTCCTTACCCCTCTCCTCAATTTCCCCTATTATAAATATCTTGGGGACTCGATGTGGTAGCGTTAATGCTGTAATTCTAGCATTTGGGGAGTCTAAGGCAGGAGAATCACTCGAGGTCAGAAGTTCCAGACAAGCCTAGGCAACGTGGCAAGTCTCCACCAACACAGCCTGTCTCTACAAAAGAGGAAAAAAGTCAGCAGAATATAATGGCTCATGTCTGCAGTCCCAGCTACTTGGAAATGGCTCAAACCTGCCGTGATTCTCTCATCTCAGAAAACTGAGGAGATCCCAGGAGTTTGAGGTAGCTATGATCATGCCACTGCACTCCAGCCTGGAGGACAGAACGGGACTCTGTCGTAAAAAAAAAAAATCTTGCGTTTGGTGAGGTATATTTATTACAATTGATAAGCCAAGACTGCCACATTATTAACAAGTTCAGTAGTTTACATTAGGATCTACTCTTTTTGTTGTACATTCTATAAATTTAAAAAATGTATGTTATGTATTCATCACAAATGTATGTTATATATTCGTCCCTGGCTCCAAAATCTCTTGCATTCTACCTTTTTCACATTTTAATGTCCCAGAAATGGAGATATTCAAATACCATAGATGGCTACAAGTAATGTAATGTGCTGTCTCCCTCCTCTTCCTCTCTCTCCTCCTCTTCCTCTCTCTCCTCCTCTTCCTCTCTCTCCTCCTCTTCCTCTCTCCTCCTCTTCCACTCTCTCCTCCTCTTCCAGTCTCTCCTCCTCTTCCACTCTCTCTCCTCCCTCCCTGCCTCTCTCTCTCCTCCCTCCCCTGCCTCTCTCTCTCCTCCCTCCCCTGCCTCTCTCTCTCCTCCCTCCCCTGCCTCTCTCTCTCCTCCCTCCCCTGCCTCTCTCCTCCCTCCCCTGCCTCTCTCTCTCCTCCCTCCCCTGCCTCTCTCTCTCCTCCCTCCCCTGCCTCTCTCTCTCCTCCCTCCCCTGCCTCTCTCTCTCCCCTCCCTCCCCTGGCTCTCTCTCTCTCCTCCCTCCCCTGCCTCTCTCTCTCTCCTCCCTCCCCTGCCTCTCTCTCTCTCCTCCCTCCCCTGGCTCTCTCTCTCTCCTCCCTCCCCTGGCTCTCTCTCTCTCCTCCCTCCCCTGGCTCTCTCTCTCTCCTCCCTCCCCTGCCCCTCTCTCTCTCCTCCCTCCCCTGCCCCTCTCTCTCTCCTCCCTCCCCTGCCCCTCTCTCTCTCCTCCCTCCCCTGTCTCTCTCTCTCTCCTCCCTCCCCTGCCCCTCTCTCTCTCCTCCCTCCCCTGCCCCTCTCTCTCCTCCCTCCCCTGCCTCTCTCTCTCTCCTCCCTCCCCTGCCCCTCTCTCTCTCCTCCCTCCCCTGCCCCTCTCTCTCTCCTCCCTCCCCTGCCCCTCTCTCTCTCCTCCCTCCCCTGCCCCTCTCTCTCTCCTCCCTCCCCTGCCCCTCTCTCTCTCCTCCCTCCCCTGCCTCTCTCTCTCTCCTCCCTCCCCTGCCTCTCTCTCTCTCCTCCCTCCCCTGCCTCTCTCTCTCTCCTCCCTCCCCTGCCTCTCTCTCTCTCCTCCCTCCCCTGCCTCTCTCCTCCTCTTCCTCTCTCTCCCAACTTTCCTTCACCTGAGAGGCTCCTATTAAACTGCCAGCATATTTTATAATCCATGGCATCTTAGCACTGAGGAAACATAGCAGTAAGGAGGCCTGATGTGTAGCCTGGTGTGTACTCTTATCCTTTGTTGCTTATCACTGAGAGTTACTATCAGGACCTGCTCCCTTCTGCTGCTCACTGGAGTTGTGGGGGAGGTTGCCTAATGCAGCAGCCTTTCTGTCATGTGCACATGTCACTTTCCTTCCTGCTGTCAGAATCTGATTTTGTGTTCAGGTGGTGTGCTTTGTTTCCCCTGCTTACTCCTTGAGGTCCCCTCATCTCCATCTTTCTCCACCCTGCTCTGCCCCTGGAGACTGCCCTGTTTGGATTACATCAGTAGGTCCCAAGACCTTTGGCACTCAGTTTTATTAGCAAGGAGTTGGGACAGGAGAATGGAAGGACTGAGGAGGGTGTTTATTCTCCAGGTTCCCTGGTAAAGTTCACCTTAACCTGGCTCTGTTCCTCAATAGAAGGTCATGGCTCCTCTCAAAATGGCTGACTCTATGGGAATCTTTCTCTTTTTGAATCTCATAAACTCTCTTTCCCCTCATTACATTGGCCTAGGGATGGTAGCAGCCTGTGTTTTTATACTGTCCCTTGTAGTTTCCCCAAACCCTGGCTACATCTTTATAATGAGCCTGCTTGTAAATTCACCCTCCTAGAATTGTCTTCATGCGAATGGGCCATCTGGTTGCTCTTGGGTTCTCATCTGATACAGGCTGTAAATGGAGATTACGTTAATCTCAGGGAGAGGAGACCTCAGTTTCAGGGGATGAATCATACTTAGTCTAAACAATTCTTGGTGGTCCAAATCATTTTTTACAGATGATTGATCTCAGCCCTAAATTCTACAGGTTCCAATAAAAGTAAAGGGAAGTTGGCTAGGGGACTTCTCTTTTTGAAAATAAAGACCGAGTTTCATGATAGACATTTGTTCTCCCCTGGATATTGGTGTGAGTTCATGATGTCCAGAGATGCAGCTGCCACTTTGTGACCATGAGGTGACCAAAAAAAAAATTCAAAAACCCTGTCATGTATAGAGTGAGGATACATATATTTATATGTATATCCTCAACGGTATTTCAGAGCCTTGCATGAAATCTGAAACCACCCATTTTGGATTATTCTTCTTTGATATGACTACATGCCCTTATGTTTTATGCCACTAAGAATCGGCAAAACCCATTCCTACCTGATAGAGTGACGGTGGGGGTTGATAATTAAGGTAACACATAAAACATTCTCCAGCTCAGGGTGTGATGGAGTAAGGATAGGAAAACGCTTGAGTCTAAGATGAAAAGGGGTACATATTGACTTGCCCTGATTGTTCTATCTTCAGTATGAAGCTTTTACCACCCACTGGACTTGTGCCATACCCAGTGCAATATCAGAATCCACTGCATGAGACGCTTCTTGGTGTTTAGAATCTGACTTTCTTAGCCAGATGACACTGAGTTCTTACTCAATGTTTCTATAGCTCCTACTCTGGGTTTTTCCACTAACTGCCTTTGCTGATATTAGACTCTAATCCTTAGCCTGTCCATTTGGAAGAACAGTTTTTCTGTATCCAGGGGCAAGATAACTAATAATTCCTTAGTACCTGCTCAAACCAGGCAAATATAGTATTTAAAACCCTAACAATCCTGCAAGGTAGAAACTTCAATTATCCCCATTTTACAGAGAAGAAAACTGAGGTTTTTAGATAAAAAAAAATTGCCCAAGTCTACCTTAAACCTAAGCACTTATTTCTAGTATGCTTAAAGTAAGCATCGATTCTGAGCACACCTGTCTTATTCATAATCTGGAAACTGGAACTCCTTCCTGCATTTTCCCTACTGCTGATCTGTCCCTTGGTCTCCTACTGTTCCTCAGCTTGGTCAATGCACAGCACTGATCAGTCATGTTCTTCCTTGGGCCCAATTTTGCTCTCACTTTCAGACCCCATTCTGAAGCTTTGGGGCTGTCCACACCCACAGGGTGACCTCAGAGTCCTTTACAAAATAAATAGACTTCACACACTTGAGTGAGCCTGACATCTTTTCTGGATAAAAAGCAATGCCTAATTTACATCTTATATAGTCAGTTAATTTTAAAATTTGGCTGCTTACTCTATACAGACCGTCAATTCATGCTAGATTGACACATGATTTTTCAACTTTACAATGGTGTAAAAGTGATACGATACTCTCACGTTGCTGGGCGTGGCTCTCAGTCAACCATGTGATCACCAGAGTAAACAACTGATACTCTACAGTTTACTGTGTTGCCAGATGATTCTGCCCAACTGTAGGATAACACAAGTGTTCTGAACACTTTTAAGTTAGGCTGGACTAAGCTGTCGTGTTTAATAATTTAAGTGTATTAAATGCATTTTTGACTCACAATATTTTCAACTTATGAGTTTATTGGGATGTAACCCCATTGTAAGTCAAGGAGCATCTGCATAGAAGAATCAAACAAGATAAGTGTTTTGCCATTCTTCATGTATGTTCTGAGCAAAAAAGAAGCGACAGGTCAAAAAGATAGTGGTATATTAGATGGTCGGAAAAGGCAGAACTACTCCTTTCTGTCATGCTTCCATTTTCTCCATTATGAATAAAGAGCCTTAAGCTGGAAAGGTCGAAACAAATGTGATTGAATAAAAAATGAACCCATATTTGCTGAAGAGTTGATTTAGTGCTCAGAGAACTGGATGGGGTAGTGACAGCAATTGCAGATGTGACTGTAGAATTATTTGAAAACGTGAGGAAAATACGTGGAACAAGAATTTCCAAAAGATCAATGGTTATCGTTTATAAAGCTAATATTCAAAAGATCATGTATGTGTGTACCATCATTTCAATTTCAGAAATTTTACACTACCAAGTTTGTTATCAATTCTTGATTTTTAGGAGAGAGTCATTTGGTCATTCATTCTCATTAATTTATTTTAATCAATACTTGTTTACTGAATGTTCATTCTCTGCTATCCAGTGGATATAACGATGAATGTCTGTCCAGGGAAATTCCCATTTAGGATGACACAAATTTAAGCCACTATACTGCCCATGAAAGAATGCTGAAAGGAAGACACAGCATCTTGAGGATAAGGTGGGAGGTGGTGTGTCCGGGGGTGAAGGAAGTAGAACTATAGTGTTCACAGAGAAAGCAGCTTGTAAAGAGATTTAGGTTACAAAAAGAGATGACTTGGTTGCATCAGTGTGGCTGCCTAT